GAACGCCACTTCCGTTTCAAACCGTGCCTGACTACAGCTGGGATACGAACTGCACCCGCACCAATCCATCATTGGCTGCCCCAATGAATTCTGTACCCTCTTATCACGTCGCTCGCTCCCAGAACACACCCGTAATGAACAGGCATGACTACGATCAGATGATGAATTCGGCTTCAGTTATGGAGTTGAAGAACAACTTTTCACCGTCCCCGCAGTTCGCTCTGTCTGCCATGTCCCCGGCTTGTCTGAGCCCTTGCCCTACCCCGTCGGAATTCGACGGACAGCCTTCACTTAGTCCCCTCAACTTGTCAAACTACGCAGGTATCCTCACTTTTCCCTCATTCCCATTCACGTGTTTACCATCTCTTCGTTTAGGTTCCGGACCAATTCAGCTTTGGCAATTTTTACTAGAGCTGCTCATGTGTAGAAATTGTAGAAACTTCATATGCTGGACTGGCAATGGCTGGGAGTTCAAACTTATCGATCCTGATGAAGTAGCTCGTCGATGGGGTATACGAAAAAATAAACCAAAGGTGAGTAGTTTGATTTACACTGTCCAGAGTATAACCTTGGCGTATATCAAAGTAGGAAATTTGTTCACGAGAAGGATCTTCAACAGATTTCGCCTACAGCAAGAAGTTGCCTTCATGTTGCAGATGCTAAGCAGTTGAAACCTGCAATGCATTAGCACTTAGATGCTGTCGACGAATAACTACGCGACTCATAAACAAAGATCTTTCTGTATTTGCAAACGCTTTTCACCTTAAACTTCGTCTTCCTTAGTCTGATGCTGTTGCATCGAAGTATACCACTTTTTTATCAATGTTTTGAGATTGAACATTTTTGCTCGCTGTATTTTGCTTTACTTATTTTATATGTGACTTCTGGATCGTTTTGAAACAAGTGCTTTCTGTGCTTACTCAGTCTACTATCCCCCTCTCCCCTCCATCTTATTCTTGTTTCAATCAGAGTATAATATTTTTCCATGTAATTGGGTTACTTCAGTATAATAAGTGTTTCAGTCAAAATGTCGTCATTCTTTTTATACAACCTTACAAACTTACAATTTTTCTTCTTCTGTTTGATTGGAACGTAACAAAAATGACCATAGAAAATGTATAGAGCAAGAATTAATATTGCACTATAGATCTGCGATAACCTGCGCCTTACAACAACAAGTTTAAAACTGCCACACAACATTAAAAGCCAGAGACGTTCTGCTTACGCAAAGGGCTCAGAGGTGGTGATTACACGCACATATCCAGAATCTGTGTATTTCCCTCAGTCATCCGTTCTTAAACCGGTTTTCATTTATGAACAAGACGCAATTACGCAATTATATTGACTATTGAAAACCGTCGTTGAAACGTCATGAGCTATCACTTATTTAATATCAGAGGTCTGAATCTAAAATTCAAAAGCCTTTTCGTAATCTATGAAAATCAGGTTTCAGACGAATAAATTTATTTAACAGTATTTTCGGGAAAACAAACATGCTTTGTTCTAGGTGACGAATAGAACTAAATACATACTGAAAGGTGAATCATTTAATTTAGCATAATAAAAATATGCATTTTGTTTTTTCAGCTGCATCTGACGTTTGAATCACAATTTCATGTCGTTTCTCCATGCTCCTAAATTTTTATTCCCCTCATCTATGCGTTTTTCATGCCTTTACAAACTGGTTTTTAAGTTCTGGAATTTTGGGTTCCATTTATTTGCAAAATTGTTCATAGCAGTGCAAGACAGTGTCTGGTCTTATGCAACGTGAATGAAGTTTCTTATGATAATTATTTACTGTTGTTTGTTTTCAGTTATTATTGCCATGAATTCATCCTTTATAATCAGCTATATTTATTATTTCAACAGCAGATTCAATGGTTTCAAATGGACAGATTTGAATTTCTTTGTATTTACACAATTAATTCGCCTGACTTGAACATTTGTTTCAGATGAACTACGAGAAACTTTCCCGTGGATTACGGTATTACTATGACAAAAACATTATCCACAAAACGGCTGGTAAAAGATACGTGTATCGATTTGTATGTGATTTAACCCAGTTGTTGGGCATGACTTCTGAAGAGGTCCACCTGCAGCTAGGCATTCCCGGAGATGACGAATGCAACAGTTCGCCGTGCGGGTCTGCGGCGGATATGGACATGCAGGATGTAAAGCCAACGATCAGAATGCAGACGCAGAAGGTTACATGCGTCGACTAATCGTTCATCGACGGAAGACAGGAAGTGAAAGCCTTCAATGTCAGACCTTTGTGATTGTTTCGCATCTGGTCACTGAAACTAGGCGTCCGTTGTCCACGTGAGGTCAGTCGCCACCAGGACATGATCCGGTTAATCGTTGGCCAGCTGTAAGTACAGAGTGGACGTCCCCAATGCGCTGGAGCTGCCAATCCTCTATTTCGTATGACTGAC